TCATCTACAAAGATCTACCTTCCTGTTGAACTTGGTAGACAGAGTGCAATTTTCAGGAAAAAAAAGTGACCTGCTTTGAGCTGTATAAAAGACTGGATGAATACCTTCTAGGTAGAAAACTAGTGGATGGTTGGAAATGCAGAAGATGTATCCAGATGCAGTCTTTTATGCATCATACCACTAGACTATCTGATAAAGCTGGCCTCTCCACCAAACTGACAAAACATTCAAGGTTTTCATCACCTTCCCCCTTGGTGTTGCCCAACGACCCCAGACATACGCTTGAAACTAGTAGACCCTAATGCCACTAAACTTAGTCGTTCATTTAATGACCTTCAAATTCTAGCACTGGAGACCATTAATGCCTTCAAGCCCAGTGCTATTTTTGCATACACTGATGGGACGGCATTGATAGATTCTGGAAGAGCAGGCTATGGAGCCTACATTGACTTTCTTGGCTCTTACTCATTCAAAATTTGGTAGTGTTTGCAGTTTCGATGAGGAAACCATGGCAGTCTGTGAAGCTTTAAAGGTCATTGACTGTCAACTCGCGGAGGGACATTTGAGGGCAACACAGATTGTTGTGGTTACTGACTCAAAATGTATACTACATGCTTTGCAAAGCCCTGGACCATGGCCTCCCCAATATTGACACTGTCATCATGGCTTCACACAACATAAAGCAGCGCTATTGCACCCCTGTAATAATGCAGTGGATACTGAGTCACATAGGTGTGACTGGCAACACTATTGCAGACTCCTTGGCCCACCAGGGAGGGCAAATTCCACCCACTGAACAGGCTGTGAGTTTTCATTATGCTCTTGCTATAATTCAAAAAACAGAAATAGAAAAGTGGTTTGAGTGTTGGGACAAGTCCCAAAAAGCTGTGGAGTCTGGAGTCTGTGGAGTGAGGCGCCCTGACCACACTTCTCTGTGGTGGAGGCTGTCCAGGCCTGAGCAAGCTATTACAGCACCAAAAACAGCAGGGTTTCTATCCAGGGCTTTTGCAAGAGAGGATTTAAGTCTCTCAAGCCCTAACTCAAATGGAGTTTGATGATGATGATGAAAACCTTCCTGTTGAACTTGGTGTGGCTTCTCTGTAAAAACTCTGTAGACAGTGTGCTATTTTCAGGAAAAAAAAGTATTTGAGCAAATATGTTCTTTGACTGGCACCTGGCTCTTGTGTATTGCTGTTGGTGGTATGATTGAAACGTTCTCTTAGCCAGTCAATTTATTAATTAAGAGGATGTTTTTTTAATGGCGTTATTAACAGAAAAATGTTACATAGCATTATCATTACCCCAGTATATATGGGATCCAATTATTCTTTACATGTCAAGTTGCAATTAAAAATGATCTTTCTCAAACAAGCTTTGCCTATTTTTTAGGAAAGATAATTTGTCAAAAGTTGTAATGTTGGGAAAATGACCATCCCCATTGATTCCTCTCCCCCCCCCCCCCTTTTCCTCATGTTCTTTGTGATTCTTTTAATTAGGTTTTTGTTCACCAATGTGGAATTATGATCCAAATGTGATTTATCAATATTATGTTATGTTAAAGGTGTTACAGCGAACTTGACTGCTTTATTCCAAAACATGTTTTGATGTATTGGCCATTGCTGTATTTGTATCAAAAGTTAACTAACTAGACTACAATTCTATATTCATGTGTCCTAATGTTAAAATAATCCTTTTAATAATCCAATTAGGAAAAACAAGTCGGGGATCACTGGGAGTTTGAGTGCCAGCATGGAGAGCAGGAATGTGTCGGTAACATTATTGATGTAAGGTCATTGCAATTGAGATTAGATTTGTTTGCGATCATTAATTTTATCATAGACTTTGATTATAGATTGTATATAAATATTAATTTATTTGTTGTTTTTTTTAACATCATTTTATCCAGTTTTAAATCACAAATTTATTTGGTAAAAGAATCATTTTGTACAATGCATTGTGTTTAATAGTCACTACTTTTAATTTCTTTGCCTAGACGTGTACCATCGCCCTGGTCAAGAACATTGCAGTCTACTTTCCTTTCATCAATTGTATGGAAGCTTCTTCAGCCAAGCCGCTGGATGCTGCCAAAGTGGTAAGGCAAAGATTGAATTTGTACATTTGTGCTATTTAAGTGTCTGCTCAGTCCTCACTGTTCTTATCTTATATAATACAGACATTAATTCAAAAAAGAAGATGATTACGTCGAACGCGTCATGCATTTAGTCATGCATATTAAACAATGACTTTAAATTCTGCCAAGTCACTGGTTTTCCTGGCTAGCTCAGGCAACCCATTCCATGCTCTAATAGCACTAGGGAAGAAGAAGCATTTGTACAAACTGTTCAATCTAATTGTCCCACTTAAATAGTGTTAATACTCTAAATATGTCAACAAGCCACTTGATCAGCTCCCCAGCTAAATAAAAAAAACAACAATCGAAATATCAAAAATCCTTTAAAAAAATACAAAGCTTATCTAAGGGAAAGAATTTGCAGCTATATCTCTCATATCCCTTACAAAATAAATTGGATTTATCTACCATAAAATCCGGTTACTGACAACCAAAAATGTATTACAGTCATCACAGTGATTGTAACTATGCTGTTGGTAGCTTAGAATATTTCATCTTTGACACCTCTGTGTATATATTTAATAACTTGTTTTATATTGTATTTTGAGTTACTACATAAATTTTTGTGTTATTTTGAAACAATCTGTATGTAACAACTGAAACTTGTTTGTCTCTAGTGTGCTACAAAGTATCCTGTCCCATTGGATGCAATCCTGAACTGCAGTAGGTCCAGCTTTGGGAACAGGTTAGAACATGAGATGGCAATACAGACAGAATCCTTGCAGCCACAGCACCAGTATGTTCCCTGGGTGACTCTAAATGGAGTAAGTTTGTTAACTAAAGGATACTAAGTGTAGATTTTACTCAATTTAACTCGTTCTCTCCTAATTAATGATACTATTGTTGATTAGACCCCATTAAATTAAATTAGTTTTTGGTTTTATAAACTTGTATTTGTGTTATATAAAAAGAGCATGCACTCTGCTATAATTCTATACCAAAAGTAACATTTTCTGATTACAAACAAAAATGTTTTTGAAGTTCAATTACAGGTTAGAATGTCCAAATATGGAAAATAATTAAGGAGATTAAGAGTTAGCATGATTTTACTAAATTTAACTCTATCATTCTGCTTCATAAATATGTGAGATATTTGTTGGGGCACTACAACTGACTCACTCACAACTTCACACCATATGACTTGCTGCTGTTCTCAATAAATGGAATGGATGAATTAATCCTTTCTGACAATCACCCTTTTCTTTGTCCTCTCACATTTTTCTTGTCCATCGATGTTTCCTTTTGCTTAACTTTGTTCCAGTCTCATAGCTAGGGATTTGTGGGCCCAGGGGCTTGACCTTTTTATGGACCCTGCATTTTGACATTCAATATCATGACATAAGATAATGGCATAAAATTTAATATAAAAACTAATTTCAGACACTCATTTGGGGGCTTCCTCAGGTGGTGGTCCAGGGGAAATTTTGAAATGTGGACCCCCTCCCTCCCCCACCCTAGCTACACCACTGCTTTGTTCCATTACTTGTAACTGGTAATGTTTCTTGCATGATTTTTTTTTTCATGGCTGCTTAAAACTTACTTTTAAAAAAAACAAACTTTTAGCTTCTACCATTTAGATTTAAACAAAAATACTTTTAGTTTCTACCATGTAGATTTAAAAAAAAAAACTTTAGCTTCTACCATTAAGATTTTAAAAAAAAATACTCTTTAGCTTCTACCATTTAAAAAAAAATGGATTACAACCTATTTTAGGTCCATACTGAAGAGATTCAGACAGAAGCACAAGATAATCTGGTAAAATTAATCTGTGATACATACAAGGTAATTTCTTTTTATTAAAATCTAGAGATTCTAATTTCTACCATCATTATTTAAAGCAAACGATAGTAGGTACTCTGTGCTATAATTCAGTGATTGTATGCAAAAAGATTTTAATTTTATACTTAAATTAAACTTGTACCAATTTTTTCAGGGGTCAAAGCCACCAGGCTGTAGTGAGTCTTTAAAAACGAAACAACTCTGTAAGAAAGAGTTTTAATAGAAGTCATTAAGTCTTTCATTTTCAATGTGTATTATTTATTTTTATTTTTTTTAATTATTATAATTCTGATAAATGATTATCTGAAAGAAAAATTGTATATAATATATTTATTTCTATTGTCTTTATGTGGTATGCAATATTGCAAGAATACTATCACAAAATGGCACAAGATTAGGAATTTTAAAAAACTCTTAATCTGAAGAAGCAATGTCATGTTCTCTCAAATTAATTAGTGTCATTTAATTTAATCTGTATGCAGTTTTGACCATAATATCTTTTCTGATTTTATCATAGTTTTGTTTGTTTTTTTTTTGGTCTCAAAAATTTGTTAGCAAATTATTTTTTCCTTCCCTTTCCATGGCAACTCCTTTCTTTAAAAGTGAATGTCATCAGGAAGTAGAAGTAGCTCAGTTGTTATCTCTGTGATTATGTGCCCTTGTATCAGTCAGTATGATCCACACACATTGGACAATGTGCATTAATTACATTTAAAACAATATCAGTAGTGGCTTGAACATTTGCTCCTCAAGGACTCGGTAGTTCAGATCACTTCAAAACAGCCATCTGGTAGTGGGGGAATAGTTTTTGTTGTATATTCTCATTACAGACAGCAAGGCCTGCATAAAGTTGTTCTTTGGTCTGTCTTGTCACATTTAGCGACATCATTTAATTTAATGATGTAAATGTGTAAAAAAATTCCTTGATTGATATAAGGGTTTATTACAAAATACAAATAAATTTTTTTTTGTCCGTGAAAAAAAATCACAATTGAAAGTGTCTATGTCTTCATAAGTTATACATACTGTTCCTTTGTTCAATACTGTTCCAGTTAACCCATAATTTTCACTATTCTGTCTGTCTCATTGATTTCCCCCCCCCCCCCCCCTCCCCTTTAAGCAGAGTTTTCGTCACTCCTCAATATTTGCTTGAGAATTTCTACCATGTTTATACAGGGTAATTCTTTAAACAATCTTCCAATATTAGTTTTATTTTTATATTTTAGTAAAAAGATTTTATTGTTTGCATTAATATTATTTATACTATTTTGTTGTCTTCTATTGACTTTTGGTATATTCTCATATTTGGCCAGTTATGTCATTTCTTATTTTGCACAAAAACACCAGTCTCATATTTATTTAATATCATAAGATTTAATTTGGAATCACACAGCTGGGTATTATAATGGCTTGTAGATCAACTAAAATGATTTGAGTTCCATTAAGGGTGGGATTTATTTTGATTTTTTCCAATTAGTCAAATATTAGTGAAGATATCTTTTCTAACCTTTGCTACCCTTTTTAATAATATACAGTAAGTAGTTGTTTTTTAAAGATTCAATTAGCTAATTTTGCTTATTGTTAGTTATCTCTCTTGAATATCATAGTTCTTTCCCTTTATCATGTTCATACATATTTGTATTTTTTTAATATTTTTTTTTGATTTCATAAAAGTTATTAAAACAGAAAACTATTTATAAAGCTTTTTCTGTTCTTTATGATGTAATGTATGAATGCACTTTTATGAATTGGGAATGAAAAATTACTTTTAATTTGTTGTAACAAACATTGATCAAATCAAACAAAATAAATAAATCCACCGTGTGGGACCCCTCAACTCAAGAAAACATTAAGAAACTGGAACAAACACAAAATAGAGCAGTGAGATTCATAACAAACGAATATTCACATTTGACTAGGGTAACACCATTAGTAAAATCACTAAATTTAGAAAGCCTTCAGGACAGAAGACTCAAAAGTAAAGTAGCAATTATACATAAAACACTGAACCATAATCTTCAAATACAAAAACAAAATTTAATAAAATACTCTGAAAGACACAAAAATAAAGGCACATTCCTCGTCCCATATGCTAGGACAAATTTGTACAAATACTCCTTCTTCCCTAGTGCTATTAGAGCATGGAATGGGTTGCCTGAGCTAGCCAGAAAAACCAGTGACTTGGCAGAATTTAAGTCATTGGTTAATATGCATGACTAAATGCATGACGCGTAGGACGTAATCATCTTCTTTTTTGAAGTAACGTCTGTATTATATAAGATAAGATAAGATAAGATCAGGATTATATGGGAAATGGATAGAATCGTATAGTTATGAAATATTGCTTCCAGTGGGCTCCCCCAGTACCGTGTAGTTGATTATGATGTGAGAAATGTTTCTATAAAAGTTTCAAAACAAAGTAAATTTCCCCTTTGAAACTTAACAGTCCTCAGTTCATTTGTTTCTAGCCCATTAGTTTAGGTGCAGTTTGTGTGTCCAGAACAACCATCAATCACTGAGATAAGCTAGTCTTTAGTAGAGCTGAAGTAAGGTAGCCTTTAGTAGAGCTGAAGTAAGGTAGCCTTTATAAGTCAATAAGAGCTTAAGTAAGGTAGTCTTTAGTAGAGGAGTCAACTTAAGGAATGCCCTCTAATCACGGATCAAATTCAGGATGTATACACCTAGACTCGAACTTGAGATCTTTAGATCTGCAGGTGAGTGGTCAACCACTGAACCACCCATGTTCCTTACCTCAGCTATTCCAATAATAGTACTGTTGACTTAGTCAGTGTCTTATTTAATTCTGGGCACTTAGTTCCTCGCATAAAATAATAAAATTCAATTAAGAAAAATGAGTTATTTTAAATGATTTTGTGTATCAATCATTACCAATGAATTACTAGGATTGTTTCATTTAGAACGGTTATATACAGACAATGAATTAGAAGCATTGGATATATTTCAATGTATAAAACATCAGTTTGACTATTGGCTTACATGTTTCTGACGACACTTAGGAGCTTAAAAAAATTGGTCTTGACCGCTTAGTATAATGGCTTATTTCAGTGAGTGACCACTTCAGTGTATACCAGCGAGTGACCACTCTAGTCATCGGGCCACGCCAATATCAATTTAGATTGTGCACTTGCGTGTATATAAATGCGTGTAACACAGTTTGTGGGACCTGTTTGCATGTGATACACTATGTAGGCCTGTTTGCATGTGATACACCATGTAGGGCCTGTTTGCATGTGATACGCTATGTAGGAATATTTGCATCTAATACACTATGTGGGACCTGTTTGCATGTGATACACTATGTAGGGCCTGTTTGCATGTGATACACTATGTATGGCCTGTTTGCATGTGGTACACTATGTAGGACTGTTTGCATGTGATACACTATGTAGGGCCTGTTTGCATGTGATACACTATGTATGGCCTGTTTGCATGTGATACACCATGTAGGGCCTGTTTGCATGTGGTACACCATGTAGGGCCTGTTTGCATGTGATACACCATGTAGGGCCTGTTTGCATGTGGTACACTATGTAGGACTGTTTGCATGTGGTACACTATGTAGGACTGTTTGCATGTGATACACTATGTAGGGCCTGTTTGCATGTGATACACTATGTATGGCCTGTTTGCATGTGATACACTATGTATGGCCTGTTTGCATGTGGTACACTATGTAGGACTGTTTGCATGTGATACACTATGTAGGACTGTTTGCATGTGATACACCATGTAGGGCCTGTTCGCATGTGATACACCATGTTGGGCCTGTTTGCATGTGATACACTATGTATGGCCTGTTTGCATGTGGTACACTATGTAGGACTGTTTGCATGTGGTACACCATGTAGGGCCTGTTTGCATGTGATACACCATGTAGGACCTGTTTGCATGTGATACACCATGTAGGGCCTGTTTGCATGTGATACACCATGTAGGGCCTGTTTGCATGTGGTACACCATGTAGGGCCTGTTTGCATGTGATACACCATGTAGGGCCTGTTTGCATGTGGTACACTATGTAGGACTGTTTGCATGTGGTACACTATGTAGGACTGTTTGCATGTGATACACTATGTAGGGCCTGTTTGCATGTGATACACTATGTATGGCCTGTTTGCATGTGATACACTATGTATGGCCTGTTTGCATGTGGTACACTATGTAGGACTGTTTGCATGTGATACACTATGTAGGACTGTTTGCATGTGATACACCATGTAGGGCCTGTTCGCATGTGATACACCATGTTGGGCCTGTTTGCATGTGATACACCATGTTGGGCCTGTTTGCATGTGGTACACCATGTAGGGCCTGTTTGCATGTGATACACCATGTAGGACCTGTTTGCATGTGATACACCATGTAGGGCCTGTTTGCATGTGATACACCATGTAGGGCCTGTTTGCATGTGGTACACCATGTAGGGCCTGTTTGCATGTGATACACCATGTAGGACCTGTTTGCATGTGATACACCATGTAGGACCAGTTTGCATGTGATACACCATGTAGGGCCTGTTTGCATGTGATACACCATGTAGGGCCTGTTTGCATGTCAAATGCACACAGATCTAAGGCATCGCTTTCAGTTCCCAAGAATGTGTACGATTGCAGACATTTGTAATTTGGTTAGAAAATAAAATATATCCGCCATACAACTAGTGCCCAGCTTCCACGAAATAGTCGTGTAGAAAGTAGACTATCAAAACATTTTACTATGGGACTGATGTTGTGCAAGGGTAAGTCGAACTCGGGGAGGTTAGCACAATAGATATAAAAATAGTCTAAAAATAACTTCAAAGAATGCTGAACAAACTCCCATGACTGAGACTAAACTAGCTTATGATCCTCATAGCATGGGGCCGTAAGTGTCGGAGTGTCAGACTACAATACCAAGAATACAGCCGAAAGCAAAGAAAAAGAAAAGCCCAAATTCTAAGAAGAAAGAAAAAGACAATGTTGCCATTTGGGCCCAACCTATATCTACCTTTCACTTTATTTCAATCAGCTTTTTTTTTCAAAACAAAGCTTGGACATCACATCTATGTTGGAGGTAATAGTAAATGAGATTGTGATCATCTTCGACCCCAAAGTAAGAGATAAACAATTGCAAAACGATATGCGCTCTAAAGTGTTGTCTCGATGGTCTCGGGTTTAATTCTCTTCCTGCAGCTGTCCCTGCCTGAAGGGGGTTTGGGCTAGGATGAAGGAATGTCCATTTTAAACAAATTCAATAATATATAACAACAGCAAGAACAACAAAGACGAAAATAAAACTAATAACAGTATTATAATAGACATAATTAGGCCATAACCACAACAACTACAAGAAGTAGTACATAACAAGTAGAGCAATGCAACAACAAAATGAATCAACAACAACCGATACAACAACATCAATATAATAACTACGACAAGAACAACAAATTCAAGTGAAGGGGCCTGCAATTATTACACAATAACAACAACAATACAAGAAAACAAAATAACAACAAGTACAACGATATAAAATAATTTGCTAAGCCTGTTGAGAGCTTCCGGAAAATGTCTGCCATTTTTCAAGCAACAATTCTAGTTAAGGGAACAGACAAACTTCGTTCATTTCAAGCAGCACACAGGAAGACTTGTAGATTGTTCTACTCTGTGTCTACTTTCAAGTGTTGCTGGTTCAAGTTAGTTGGTCTCTGACTGTAAGACTTAGCTGTACGAACTTGAGATGGGACGGAACTGAAAGGTCAAGTGGATACGAGCATCGTACATATGATTGACAAAGTTCAACTTTTGCTAAGGCCTGATATTATCATGAGCTGTGTCCAAATAACTTCTATCTTCAACAAATGATTTTTTTTTTCTTACTGCCATCAGGGCCGACCTTAAGTAATTGAAGGCCCATGGCGAAGTGAATGTCCCCAAATGAAATAGAAAAGCAAAAAAAAATCGTGAATACGCAATGAATTATAAAACCTTCCTGTAACTAAATCAACATAAGCTAAATTCATATGTGCTTCATAGACGATTCTTGGATAGAAATAACGTTTCGATATTTCACTAAAAGGAAGACACCGTGGTCTTCTAACATAGCCTTTGGTCTAACAAAAAGATCTAAACATTCGCGAATAAGCATGAATCGTAGAAGAGACTGGGCTAGGCTAGTAGACATAGAGCCAAAGAATTCTGCTGTTTGAGATTTGATCCATGTTTCGCAATTTGTTTTTCTAAAAAAATGTGCAGGGGCGTAACTAGGGATTTGGGGGCCCGAGTGATTGACCTCTTTGGGGGCCCCTTGCATTTTGACATTCGACATATGACATGAGATAATGTACGCAAATATATATAAGCTCAAAATCAAATTGGTTCAGTATATCAGTAAACTTAACAAAGAAATAATCATGAAGACTCTTTTAATGAATATTGCCGTTGTTTATTAGTTAAATAATGCACAAGTGACAACTCTCTATCGATATCGCTTCACGTCGTGCATTCTGTGCAGCAAAGACATCTATAACATCAACTACATCGATACTTTCTAGTATTTGTGACTCCACAGACATTAAAGCCATGATAAGCCTATCTTGCGTCATTGTGCTCCTGAGATAGTTTTTGATGAACTTGAGCTTTGAGAATGATCTCTCACATGACGTAATGGAAGTGGCCTGAGTTAGCGGTATTCGGAGGA